GTGGCAACACCGCGTCGCCAGTCTGGGACGGATATCAAATGAACTCTGATTTCCGTAGCGTTCTTCAACTTTTTCGCGTTCTATTAACAGCTAGTGAAACATATTTTGCTATGGAAATCAGAGTTATTTTGATACCCGTGCCGTTTTTATTCGTTTAGATGTTACCGATTTTCCACAGTTTTTCAGGAAGGGGCAGTTACAAGTGAAGCCCCCCCCCCTTCCCCTTCTCCCACTGAGGAAGTTTAGCCCGCTCCTGCGTAAAGCACCGAAAAACTTATGGTATCGGCTTCTTTGACAATAGTTTCGACAAAAAATGAAGTGATTGGCTGCGTTCAGAGTCGGCGACGTTAACCGGCAACGGTTTCTTCGCTCTACCTCGCCAACAATGTATGAATTGTAAGAAGAACGAATATATGTCTTCGTTCTGGACCTCAGTCAATTAGATCGAAAAGGTACACGGGTGACATTGTGAAGATACTATATATACGATATGTACTAATACCTAGTGATAGATCTGATAACAGGTGATAAGGGCTGATGGAATACAGATAGAAGTCGGTCGTATTGGTTGTTTCTTTCTATTTTTCTCGCTAAAGAGTCATATGTACGTACAATTATGGAAATTATGCATCAGCAACTTGGAACACTGTGCGTAAGAGTCTAAGAAAGCAGTTGAACAACCGTAGGAGAGGGATCATTGTCTATGAAGATAGCATTAGTAGAACCTTATGCTCATCTTCGACGAGGTCATACACTAATTAGCAATAAAATCGTTAGGCCAGTCTCCCTTCCGTCCTCTGATCTTGGAATTCCCATAATTTTCTCACAAGGTGATCGAGTTGCGGACAGAAAACTTTAGCCTCGGACGAAAAAGGTAAACAGTTAGAAATTGCAAAAGTTATAATTTTCGTCTTCAATCTCATTGTTATGGATCCTCTTGCGGCTGGGATACGACTCTTTCTGATCACTCTTTTGTCCTTGTGTGTCCTTGTGTCGTTTCTTTTTTCTCAGTCCCCGCTTCTAGATAGCATTTCGCTAATTCGGACAATGTCATTCTGTTTCCAAATTCTTATCTCTTCTTTTGGTCCTTGATTATAGGCTTAACTTTTATTTTCCATCTCTAGGATTATGCCAAATTCTGGAGACACTCGGATGCACGTACCATATTCATTCACAGTACAAATCAAACTTTCACTCATTATAGTGTGAAGTCGCCATTATTCTCTATTTCATTGTTGTTGTTCATCTAGGAAGAGAAGGACTGTGAATCAAGGAAACGGTCACAGTATTTTTATGGTTACTGTAGCTGGCGAGCTTTTTTTTGACAAGGAAATTGAGGCGCCTAAAATGGTGATAGTTAAAAAGATGTGGTCAGGGGAGTGGGGAGTATGGGAAACGGTGTTCCGTCCATGTTTGGGTAATCTGGTGTGTGATCTTTGCTTCGCAACAACGATCGCAATTATGCAGAAGATAGACAAAAACTCCTCTCAGTGGCTTTTCCTCGACAGCATGAGCGTGTTCCTGAAGCTGACTGCTGTATGTGGTAGCCGCGACTGACTAGTTTGAGTGAGCAACTCGTGGTAGAGCCCTCTTCTCAGGCTACCACCAATAATGTTAAAATAGGTCCCCGAGCGCTTCTGTTGCAAATTATCACACACTTATCGAGTCATCAACTTCGAGCAATCGTCTTCTATAAGTGGCGCCTTAGCTCAATTGCCCATTCCATCGGAGAGTTCCTTACCAGTCATGCGACCGTCGGTCAGTCAGTCCNNTCAATCTGGGCATAAGACTCTCATTGACGATCCTCATCGAACCTGTCATTTGCTATCGATAATGACCGACTTCTGAGCGAAGTGAAGAAGAAGTTCGAAGCCACGAGCAGGGAATCGGAAAGGCTTCATTAGTGTGACCAGAACGGCGTCGTTCGACACCCTCATGCACCCCGTTACAAGAAAGTTCTGGCTTGATGATTTCGCATCAGCTGAATGAAGATTGTCGATTGTTTTGTATAAGCATTATAGTTATAGTTGTTCTGGTCACCGTAAGGGCGTTACACTACATCCAAAAGTGCATTCATGGAACGAACTGCAACCCTTACTTGCATGGTCAAAACTCCAGGCGCCGGCACTCAGGTGCACATTAACTTTAGGTATAGCTATCGCCCAGTGCCGCATGAAAATGTTCGAAAAGGTGACGGAAACCAAAGATTTGATCAATGGGAGCTTACGGCACTGTGAAACTACAACTTTCATGGGTTACGCGTTTATTATTGTATGAGATCCAACATTCAACTCCAGTTTTCTGCATGGCGTCTGCGAAAGTTTGATAGTTTCACTTGATACTGATCGAAATACAAAGGCGGAGTCCATACCATATCCAGTGATTTTTGACAATCCTCTGAGCCAGTTCATACCCCGCTTTAATTGGTTTCCTTTCTCGAATTTTCAGTCAACTTCTGTTATTATTCCCTTTTTCCAATCTATATTGAATCAAATCGATTGCGCTTACTCGAATTTCAGCCACTTGGGTAGGCGCTACCCTATCCGAGACCAGCTCGGACAAAACTTTGGACATCGAAAAAGCGATATATGACATGTTTGCGTCAAAAAGTGGTTAAGAAAAGACCTGGCAAGGGCTCGACGATCGTTTGAAACGCCCCTACTGCTATCAAACAGACTCTTTGAAGGAACGCGCGGTCAGACTTTGAGGTACTCCAGAGTACTGATCCACTTCCCTGAGCGCGATGTCGAAAGTGAAAGCTGTAGGAGGGCGGTATTTTTCGGACTACCTGGGTCTTTTCGATACATCTTTATTAGATTAATTGTTCCTCTAAATGTCTTCCTTCCTGTTGAATCCAATGTCATGAGATCTCCGGAACATCGTAGTATCAAATAACTGAACTTTTGAGCGATCTCGGTCTTCCCTAAGAACTCTCACCTCCACAAACACTTGAACACATTTCCATCATTCGGCTTTCCCGATCTCCAAGCTGTTCTGAAACGGCTTATGCGTTCCATGAACCGTTCATAAGTGAATCAGATTCAAGATCACAATGCACTTATGGAAAGGATACATATGTATGGTATGCATGGTTTGCTAACTCCAACATAAGGCAAGATGATAAACTGATCAACTGGGCACCAAGCCATGAAGCCGCTAGCATAGATCTCCACGGCGCTTACTTGTACTCTTCAGCTTAGGATATAGCTGGAGGTGGAAGGAAGAGCTTTGTTCTCAGAGAAGATACCACTCCCCTTTCCCGGGTGTGTTGCGATTCTATCGCCGAGATAGGGGGTCACGGCGCATTCGCGACCCGCGACCATTGTGATCAATGATGATTCACGCCTTATGCCTTAGCGACACCACCGTATCGGAACTTCACGAAAGGGGCTCGGTACTAGTTCTAACAATAAGGCCACTCTTGCCTCGGGACATACTTCGCGGCGTGACCTCACCCTATCAGCGATTCCCCCTTTCCCATGCCCAATGGTCCTCAGCTTGCGAGGACATTGTTTTAAATTCTGCTGATGAGCATATTAGAATCAAACTACTGTATAGTGATTGATAAGAGTTTGGTCGCCACGTTTTCTGAGACTGATAACAGTCACATTTTTGCATTTCACAGCGCAGCGATTAGACGCCAACCGCATCTTTTCTTTTATCGTTCCCCTCTCAAACAACAGCCAATAAATAGGGAGTTTCACGGACGAATTGCCCAGCGAATGGTTTTCAGACAAGCTTGTGCATATTATAATTGTGTTGCATTTGTTCCTTTACTTGCCTCCATTCTACTTCTTCTGGCATATGTTGAAATGCTGTATCATCGGTCATTGCATCGTATCGAATTTCTTTTTTGTGGCAACTCGCCAGCATTCGATTAGGACAAATAGTGTTTACCAAACTAATAACTTTCGGTCTTCCTACATTCCACCCACTTGGATTCGGGTCTGAACTTCGTTCTCACGACTTTCCCTGTTTACTCGATGATTCACAACGAATGAACGCCGAATATTTTTCCGTAACCTTGCTTTATACTCGTGCGAGTATATCAATTCGGCGTTTTTTGATCACTGAANTCACTGAATTAGTTTTCTCATTAGTTCAAGTGGGAGGGATGTGCGATTCTACCGATTTTCTTCCCCTTAGAATCGCACGTCCCTCGTATGAACTTACGAGGGACGTGCGATTCTATCGGCGAGTTACTGATGTCATGCCCACACGTGTGACCTGCACTGCATTGTTCGGCAGAATGAAGCCTAACGTGATGGGCCAATTGAATGATACAAGATCTAAAGTCTCACTACCGGAAAGAAAACCACGTCTCCTTCTTGATGTCTCAATAAGGTCGTGTCGTTGTATGCCGACACTTCATTATCTCGTCGGTGGAATCGCTGTACACCATATTAACCATTGGCAAAAAATTTGCACTCGCTCGCCCTGGATCTAAGTAAGGGTGTATAGCTTACTAGGCAATAAACCATGCGGTTGACCTCTTTATGAATTGTATGGTGCGAGTGAGCCCAAAGAGAAGTGACATTCGATTACCCTAGCTACCGTGATGGTCTAATCTCACTGTCTCAACAACCAAAATGACGACGTTTCTAGCATTTGCGTATACTGCACTCTTTTCGCATGCATTTTTTCTTTTGAATTTCTATCGTTCTCCGCTTAATTCAGCTTGGTATTCCAAACCACGGTAGGGTAGCGAGGGGTCGTCAAAGTCGCTGCATCGAAACAAGTCACCACGAGAGCTGCTCATTCTGCCAAGACCTCCTCCCTCTCGTTCTTCAGTTCGTAAAACCTCTTCATAGTACCGGAGGTTACTGTGTGCGGTGACTGGGTTCGAGCACGACGAAAAGGATGACGCCTCGTGACCCGGATTCTACTTGTCTCTATGTTAAATCGTGAATCAGGTACCTTTCCAGGGTTTGTTCTCATCTCTTGAGGAATTCAAAAATGACTCTATCGGTGAGGTCATCAAGTTCCTGCGGACATTCTTATTTCTGACCAGTTCATTTACTGTACTCTTGTTATAGTTTGATGAAGCTGCCACTAAGGTGAAGTCATTGAAGACGTCACCATCAAACGACCAACTTTTGGAGCTATACGCTCTATTCAAACAGGGCACAGTCGGTGACGTCAACACCGACAAGCCTGGCATGCTCGACCTGAAAGGAAAAGCCAAATGGAGCGCATGGGAAGGCAAGAAAGGTATGTAAAATGATTTTTTTCTTTAGCCAGGGCTTTCAGAAAGTCATACAGAAAAAAATTTCATAACAGTATTTTCTTGACCATTCATGGATCTTTCTTTTGGTCCTCATCCATACTGTAGTTAATAAATCAAGAGTCAAGCAAAAATGAGATCTGTTGAGTATATCAACACCTTGGTAAAATACAGATGATTTTTCAGGAATGAGCAAAGATGATGCCAAGAAAGCCTATGTTGAACTGGTTGAAAAGCTTATCGCTGCCATTGGTCTCGCTTAAATATCTTCGAATACAAACGAGTTCACGTAAAAGTGCACTTACTTCCTTGATACGTTCCATATAATTTGCAATGGTACTAATGAGTAACGTGGGAATTGTTCTTTAGACTTTTCATTAAGGTTTAATAAATTTATTTGTAACAACAACAGAACATGTATATGAGTATTATTAGGAAGAAAATTCTAACAAGGAACAACGAATTCTTCGCAATAACCTGTAACGATATACTTGCAATAACTTTTAACAAATGAGTTACAACTTCAAAGTGCGAGATGGAGGTATGACCGAGCTTAGACCATTGTAAAAACAAGTATAAAAAATGAGGCAGAACTGCTGGCAGATGAGAATTCAACTATGTCATCATAGCCTGCTCTGTGTTACAGAATAAATCCAAGTCGTTGAGGTTTTACGAGATATTCAAGCTGAGGTCTGATGAAGCCCACTGCGGTGGATGAGCCAATATACAACAGGGACAGACTACGAATAACACTCAATAACTTTAGTATTTTCAATGGCCCCGTAACGGAATCTTGGCCCTCATTTTTGGGATACGACAAGACTACCTAGGCTCAAGCACAAATAGGACCATAAAATAGCACCAATAACTAGAGATAAAATCATCTTCTGAAGCTAATAATGAAGCAAAGTACAAAAGAACAGGAAGTTGCGACAAGTACTTTGGGGAGTAACGCCCACGACAATAAGGAAAAAATAGCATTACTGACATTAACGATTTACTTTAGTCTGAGGCTTTCGGGTTACTTTTATTTCTACTCATGTTTCTCCGTTTTAAGAAAGGAGCTCCTCCAAAACTTTCGTACTGAACTGATTCAATTCTCATAGAGTGCTTCCGGTCTAGGAAGGCCGTTAACATTCGAAGAGGCATCTAGCTGAAATCAAAAAATCTGTTACAGGCAAGGTACAGTGTACGTTCATTCTGTTAAACCCTATTGATAAGTGAACAAGGTGGTGCGATGCAATAGGTAGGTGGTGGTAGATGCCTGAACGATAAGATCATTCAAGATGTAAGGCAAGAATAATTAATCTTCGTCAGGGAGCAGAATTAGCCTACCATCAGAGAGGAAGTAACGAAATGTGATCAACCAAAACGATGAGCCTGGGACAGAAGTTCTAGTCTCTGAGCATTTAAAGCTTCGGGGTAAGCTCCATGACTTTCAACAGGAGAAACATTAAAGGGAAAGAAGTATGAGAGAGAGATTACTTCCGTGCACGAGGCTCCTATGTATACATATACACTAAGGAATGTAGGGCAGTTCTTCGTTTTAGCATCAACACTATCCAAATAAATAGCTATCGACTGAGTGGAGTGGGCAACCTACCTGATCCAAGCTAGAGGACTGAAGTGCCGGAATTGTTGCCGTACTTACAGATCGTGAAGCGCCACCGCTCATATCGGGATACTGTTCGTGACAGCACTCAAAATTGGCTGCCTGTAGTATAACAACATGATGAATCACTACGAACTGTCGAAAACGCTGGTGCATCAATGAAAAGGTGTGTGAACAATCTCAAAGGTTTTTATATAACACTGAATCACCGAGAAGTTCTTTACAAATACACGACCCACTTTGTCAAGAAGGGAAGTCAGCATAGTGGTGGCTATTTCGGTAACGAAGCGTTCGCGGTATCGTTGACATGGTGAGCAGCCGTAGTTGTGCTGAGTATACATTGGATTGCAGTAGGGAGTGTTCCTAGGAAAACATCTGAGCATTTGGAAAAAAATGGAACCGTTATGTCTGCTTAGTGACGTGGAATCGAAAACCCTAACTTATAACAGTAAGCGAACTTCAAAGAAGTAAACAAAGAATGCGGGTCAATGAAAACGGGGCGTCGTATTTGACCTGGCGAGGAATAGTGACATTGAAGCATTCTTCTCCAAGTCATATACGATGCCCTTTGGACACGTCTTCAGACATCGTACAGGCATCAGTTCCACTGATGTGAAAATCCGTCAACGTCTAGGCTTGTAATGGGAGCAGAACGGTAAAGTAGCAAACATCAGTCAGCTCTTCGATCTCAAGTAATGACTGCCGCAAAGTTACATAGATGATATATGCACGGAGACTTTGCACTTTCATAAAGCATGTTAAAATCGAATTGCATCACGAAAAGCGTAAGATTTCACATAAAGCGCTAGATGAAAGCTGAAAACATACAGCTGAAAACTGTATGACAGCGAAAACAGAACAAAATAAATTCAAGCAACTATTTTAATAGCGAGACTTTACTAGTACTGCTTCCAAGAGATCCAGGGTGATCTTATAGGGCACTTGATATACGTAGCGCTCGAAAGTATTCGGCCAACTTTAACTGACCCTAACTTTTTTCCCAGTGGAGCAAATCGCATGAAATTTNTTTGATATGCTTGACTGAAGCATATTTCACACCATACAACATTGTATTTGACTGCAAAACAGCAATGTCCACATAAGTAAGGGGAAGGCGTTTGTAGACTATACTGAAAACAAGTTTGTGACGTCTGCAGTATTAACCGCTCTCCGATTCCTCAAATGTGACTTTACACGTTGACGACGATGTCGATCAATGTTGACCGACAGCCAGCCTGAATCGGGGAATGATGTCGGTCGATGGTGACCGACAGCACTGCAAGTTAGAATGAAAGAGAACTCATGTTTTTTTCGTTCCGATTTTTTGTTTCCTTATTACTTCACTAAACTCAGCGTCGACTCGTGACCCATCTAAACTAAATGGTTTTGATGTAATTATCAGGTATCAAGATAGGAGTCCAACTTCATATCAAAGCACAATTAGAAAATCAACGTAATTGAAATCATCCACCAAATTCAACAATTATATACACCTTGAAACAAATCAAGTCAACAAAACTGATCGATTTTATCGCAGCTCTGTGTTCTCTTGCCACATTTCTAGCCGCTCTGCTGCCATGAGTCCTTGATATGAGGCTGTGGCTTTATTTACAGGATCTTTTGTCTTTGGACTCCATATTAGGATCAGAAGCAAAAACTTTCTTCTGGATGACGGCCTGTTCGTAGAAACTGGGGCTGTGATGTCATAAGTTAGAGTTGGACAATCATTTTCAAAAGAAGTTGATCTTGTTTTTCCTTTGACGTTCTCACAGTAATGTCAGAATCGGCACTTTCTTCTGGTTCGGCTGGTTTCAGCTTTTTGTATCTCAGTGCTGAAAGTATACCTTTCCGTATCATTTCCGAACTACTTTCTAAGTCGGCGCGCTTTTTCAGAAGTCTGTTGGCAAGTGGTAGGCCTGTGTACCAATTGCCGGTGCACAAACATGTGCCTTGCATCAAGATTTTATTCATGAGTTCAATCACAATGGTTTCAGCTACTGTTCTCGTTCTCTTTGGATCTCTCTCGACGTAGATCTTTCCCTTCAGCGTGTAACTGCTCTGGAACACAACTTGAACAGCTCGATCCCAAACCTGTCTTTTGGCGCCACTACACTGCCAAAAGAGACTCTCGCGGAACGGCACCATAGACTCATCAATGCACAGCTACTTCCCCGGTTTACACATCCTTTGAAAATTAGTTTCGGTGGGTCCGAAATAGGCTGAATTCTGTACAACCTGTTACTTCTGTCTGTATCGTTATTAACGGGAATGAAGGTGTAGTCTAACAATAAGTTGTTGCAATAGAATCGATCTCTCGTCATAATACCACCGACTATCGAATGCCCATTTCTAGCTAAATTTTTGGGTTTCAGTGACCACTGGTTCTTCTTGTTGCCAAAAGAACAGCGTGACATTCCAGACAAAGACCGAAAAATCTTTTCGACTCCTCAATATCCGACTCTTCCCACGAGCGATTCTTCTGATGGCCATTTGTTTGTGTCGCAATATCTTTAACAGATCCTTGTAAAAGAACAGCTCGTAAAAGTTCAGTGGGGTTTCACAGACTTCCACACCTTGATGTACCCCTTGGCTCGTTGAAAACTCCGTCTATCATTCAAATGTGCATCGTAAGTTGAGGTATTATCTCCTGTACCACTACCGCTATCTCATTCACCAGTGCCATTAGTATCGAACTCTTCTTAATCCCGCACAACTGCAGGGATAAAGCCGTCTTCTTCCCCAGTTCCATGTGTGCTTTCAGCGTAGCTCTGCACTAAATCGTCAAAAACTCAGGATATTAGCGTCATCGGCAATAGAAACCATATTCAGCGCTTTCGTCCTATCTTCGTTAACGCCGAGCACTCAAACAGCCTTTTCTATGGCTATCCACCTTTTAAACTTCGTACATCGAAAAAATCTACAGTACCCCTGCATTTTGGATAATTTGCTCAAACTTCAGCAGGCTGTCATTTTTCTTTAGTTTTTTGGAGTTGCTATTTGTTTTGCACAAACAAGAGCTTATTCTACACTAATACAGCAAAATAAACATGGAGTCTGTCTTGAAGAAAGGTGGCGGTCAATGCTGATCGACGACTAGCCAGAGTATTCAAAGCATCCCATCCCGTGTAAACGAAAAACGCGCGCGTCGCCAACGTGTTAAATGCTTGCTTTAAGCCACCTTTGGGTATTTCGTTAGGCCACTTGACTACTCGTGCTTATATCAACTCGATTTTCATTGAAAAAACGACTGTTGATGCGCAAGTCCGGAAATCAATCAACTCACATGTAGGAAGTCATTGGAGTATAGTACGGTAAGGCACTCTGGAAACGATACGGGGTCGTCATCATAGACATGTATGGATTTGTCTAAAATTATTAAAAAATAAAGCCGAAAGAGACAAGCATCAGAAATACATGTGAAGAGGTTATTCTTCTTCAATATGTGCTCATACCTGGTGATTAAAAGGGTTATAGAATGGGACTCCGTGTAAAGGCTCTGCGCCGAAGTCAGCTCCTATACGTCGCCAGATTTGGTTGGCCGCATCTGCTGGCAGCTGCTTAAGCATAACATCATTAATTTAAGGGTTACCGTAATATCCAACGATGAAAGAAGAAATACTCACGCTGAAATTTGAGTTTTGCTGAGTTCGGGTTGCTTGATGCTGATTAGATTCAAATGGCTGATTGTTGGCATTTTCATCCACCACCTGACAACTAATTCACCATGCTTTTCGGTGACTTAGATTTCATCGGTACGTAAAAGGAATATCAAATAGATATGGCGCTAAAAGGTCACACCACGCCTAGAGCGTAACTGATAGCCCCCCCCCCCCCCCCCCCCCCCCCCCCCTCCCTCCCTCCACAGCGAGCTTGTTCTCCCACATAGGAGCGATCGTTCTCTTCGGAGGTGCAAAACATTATGTAGTAATGGACTTCTAAAGTTGCACGTACTTAGCACCATAGAAAAATGCTTTAACACTGCCCCGGCGGCTTTTAGAGATCACAGCAGTGAACTTAAAAATGTCAAAAAATGCCACGAACAACATTACTCGCATCATATTTCGCAAGTTTGGAGTTTCGGGAACACGGGAACACGGATTGGAAAACGATGACGCAATTTTAATCTCACGAGGGTATTTTTGCTCCAATGTTCTCGTAACCAGTTGAGGTGTGAGACAGTCACCTTTCACCAGAAATGTCTTCGAAAACCCATTATCCAATCTGCCCCCCTTGGTCAAGGAAAATTACTAACAAGGGTAAGGATCCCAAGTCGAAGTGGTCATTTGAAAGGATACCTACAATGCTGGACGTTTTTCGATGCTAATTTCGAATCTGCATTCAAAATCTACCAAACGACTCTCTGAACGAAGTTATGGAGGTAGTCTCCTGAGAGCGCTCAATAGGGGCAAGCACAAAAGGCATGGTCGCCGGCAGTTAAGCAGTGGCGGCTTGGAGTAGAGATAAACGTGACGCTTTATAGGCACGGGACCAGGATCAGGTTTGGTGGGAGACGTCGTTTTTGCATTTTGCAGGACTTTTTCCTTCAGGTTGTAAAAATCTTTTTATGTGAGTGTTTTAGCACCTTCACCGACTCTTTAGTTGCTGGAGGTGATTCAGATCCTATATCAACCGTCTGACATCTACTCTAACCACCAACATGACGAAAATTCTATTCTTATACACTTCAAATTCACTGTAGGATAACTTTCCACCTGGATTTGTTTGGTTATCTCGCTCTAATAAATGTTCTGAGATGAAGAACTGCTCTTTAGCCACTTCCACCTTGGCAAACACCAACGACCCTCTAGATGTGCTTGCTGTTTCCTCCTCATCATCGGGTTAACATATCGTCTTCTTCGACCTCAGTCACACACTCGTCTTCGCAGTCAATATCGAGGTCTTCGTAAGTGGTATCCGCAAGATGGAGGACCTATCAACTTCTGCTCCTTCCTTTCGGGGCGCGTTCGACATCACAGGATCGAAGTTCCTCAAGAGGTGCGACACTACCAATTCTGGGCAGAATACACCCTTTGTTCTTTAGTGTTACCTCCATCCATATATACCATACTTTGCCGCGTTTGCCACGTGGCAACCTTTACTTTTTTCGAGAGCTGACCAAACCCCAACTTGTTCAAAGACTAATCGACATCACTGCTAGTGGAAGAAGGTTTTGGCAGGAACTGATTCACCTCAAGTTTTCAAAAAGTCGCCAAAGGTGGTAAAACTTATACAAAAAGATTTCTACAACCTGAAGGAAAAAGTCTTGTGAAATGCAAGATAGGATCGCCCACCAAACCCAATCTCTGGTCCCATGCCTACGAAGCGTCACGCTTACCTCTACTCCATTCCGCCACTGTTTAACTGCCGGCGACCATGTCTTTTGTGCTTGCTTCTGTTGAGCGCTTTCCGGAGACCACCTCCACATTCGTTCAGAGATTTGCTTGACAGATTTTGAATGCAGATTAGAAAACAGGATCAAAACTTACGTCCAGCATTGTAGGTATCTTTTCAAATGGCCACTTCGACCTGGAATCCTTCCCTTGTTAGTAACTTTCCTTGACCAATGAGGGCAGATTGGAGAATGGGTTTTCGAAGACATTTGTGGTGATGTAGGTCTCATTCCAAATGGCCGCTTCAACTTATAAAAAAAGAAAAACGTTTGGATTCAATTTATCCTACAAAGAAATATCTAATATCGCACCAGTTGAAATTTCATAATCGTGCAGGAAAAAATTGATAAAGCAGTCAGACGTCGTACATGTAATCGTCCATAAATAGAAACGCCGAAATGTGCAACACTAATTCTTTCAAAAAATATTTGTCTCAACTTCGAAATCCAGAACCATAGTGTTGTACCGTAGAGTACGATAGAAAAAGGCTTCTAAGATTTCCCGCCTGAATGAGTTTCTGGCCCCAAGACTAGTACGTGGGCCACAATCGGGCTGAAAAACAGCCTAGACAGGGCGTAATATGGGCTCCAAAGCCAGTATGGCAGACACAAACACCCTAAATGGCCGTGTTATACCATTATTGTTATTGCACAATTAAGACAAAAGTGACGAGAAGAATAGTACGCCTAAATGATAGGCTTCAAATGGCTTCTCGTACAAACCCCTATCCTGCTACTTTTCAAAAGTTTTATATCCTTCGAGACCGAACAGTTTTCGCACTTTCTTCGTCACAATTGTACTATGCATTCCATAATGGAATCCATCATTTCACTATAAATAGATACTTCGAATTAGAACTGCGTTAGAAACGCTTACCCCGACCCTTGCACCCGGATCCAAGGACTGTTCGNTTTTTTACAGTTTTATATCTAAAGTTTTCATTGAGTTGTGTAGGTGACTGTCATTTATGGATCATCAAGACTCACAACTGATCGTAAGATGAACTTGTGTTACAACCTATATGAATTGGAGAATTGCTCTGATTCAAAAGGCTGCTCGTAAAGACAGCTTGCAGCGGAGTATCCCAGGTAAAACACCACTCCAATGGCAAATTTTTTTCGAAAGGTCGCAGTGACCATTCAAGACGTGATGTATGCCGCCGATGTATTAGGTCGCATGAAACCTCCGCTTTTACAGACCTATTTGAACCGACATTTTTTATTGAAAATTAATTTAAATGATGTAAATATTAGCCGTTATTATCTATACCTTCTGCCACTTATCTGGTTACTCCATAATTAAATTGGTGTGGAACTCTTGCGATTGATTTGTGAAAAACTTGACCAAGTCATTTTCAGCAGCGACTCGGCCGGCCAATGTCTTAACGCGAGATAGATCTCGCAGGGATCGAAAAAGATGATAGCCAGACGATTCCTCTCACTTTCTAATTAATATAACTGTTTACAGAGCGGATCAGAGAGGTATCATATTAGTATCATATCATATTTGAAAATATTTGTTTCAGACAATGGATATTGTTCTAGATAAGGTACTAGAACCGGCTTGGGGAGACTCTCGGAGACTTTATCTACGATGTAGTACTTCGAACGCTGATCTCAAATCGACCCTCCAAATGTGCCAAACAATTATGGGAACGAAGTTACGGAGCCGATTTCTTCTTGTGTTATACCGCTTCGTGTGCGCAGAAGCAAAGTGAGAAGTCACCCATTCTATAGAGATGGCACAGTTGGAAAGTCGGCAAATTGATAGGATTGGTACAGAGGTTTGGAACTTTAATGGATGCGCTCATTTTGCTCTCTTTTTATTTATGAAAACTTTGTTCCAAACGCTTGCTAATGCTTTTGCTCTTTGTGTTGACTACATAGAGCCCCCTCGTATTTCAGAACTGCTAATTGTCTTTTTTTTATCAATTGACTTTTTCGCGGAAAAAATACTGTCGTACTTTGGTGAGCAGCTTATAACAAGTGATTTAATTCGAAGGAATAAGGGAAAAACGCAAGTGTGGCGGCTAAAATTATCAGCAGAATATTGGCTGAAAGCAGGTCTAATCACTGATCAGCGGGCAGTCATCGGTTGAACCGTTCCACTGCAGGAGAAAGTAGCCTACGAAGTAACGCAGGCATCTTTCATAGCTTTGTGAGGCATGAAGGGACCCTTCCACTATGAGTTGCTGAACACAGACTAAATGGTCACAGCTGTCACTTACCCATTAACTCCACCGTTTGGACAACGCGATTAGAAAAAGACTAAAAAACCTATCTTAGGTACTTATAGAACTCCAAGGCTCGTTTGAACTGCGCTCCAGAGATCCGTCAAAAATGGTCTCGCTTTGTCCCAGGTCATCCTTCCGAAACATTGCCCCTTTTGATTACAATGTGCTCCACCTCCTTAAAGGCATCATTTGTGGGAAGACGTCTGTGACTAATGATGATCTGAGAACGGCAGATAAGACTTCTTTGAAATGAACTTATGTACGAAAGGCATCGTTTATTTGCTTAAAGGATAAAGACAGGTGTTGATCACTCTGATGAAAGTTCTACAGTATAATCGGCTGAGTATGTCTATTGGTGATTGGGTTTGTGTATGTGTGCATGTATCTGACCGGAAATCATAACTCCTGTCCCACTGGACCCAGCATTCAAATTCGGCAGGAGTACACATGGTAGGATGGAACACCTATGGCAGGTGACAGGACCGGACTCTGCTCACAGGGAGCGGCGTTTGTGCGAAATAAATGTTTGAGCGAAAATTCGTAACTCATGCTTCTGTGTGCCTAGAACTTCACATTTGGTACGAGCACGGGCAGCAAAATGGGAACACTTTCGATGTGTGGTAGGACCAAACTCCGCCCACAGAAGGCGGGGCGTGAGCGAAAATTGCTGATTTGAGCCTGGGGCTTTCGAAATTGTGGGGATGCAGGAGGTCAGAAGAGAATGCTGCTGGGCGCTGGCACAATCTGAACCCGCCCTTGAGTGGCGGGGCGTGCGAGAATGTTACAATTTGGATGTGGAACCTTGCCTTCAAATTCGGAACGAGCACAGAAGGCAGAATTAGGACACTAATGTAGGTGACAGCAAGTAAGAAAATTNNNNGGGGGGGGGGGGCATAAGGTTGCATGGAGGGAGCGGACCGTGCGTGAAATGAGCGCAGCTAGAGTGGAAACACGCAGCAAAGTTGAAATAGAAAGGTATTAAACCATGTTCTTTGAACACAAAGGGCTTGAACAAGACCTCGCTCATTATGGGTAGGGCGCGCAAAAGTTGCGTCGATGTGTTTGTTTCGCTGGAAATCAATAGCTCCTGTTCTCTTGGCTTTTAAACTTGTAAGAATGC